CCCTGAGATACAGGTGGACCTTTGTAGCCGAATGTTCCCTTTAATCTGTTCTGTAATTTTCGTTTCTGTTTTCAGGCTTCCAGAAATAATATCTGCCTCGACCTGTCGCCCAGCCATGCGTTTGACGGGAGGCTGACTGGTCACCGGGTCATCACGTGGGATGTGAAGGTACCTCCCCCTGGCGGGTTCTGTGGGTGGGATCCAATCCTTCTCTCTTCTATATCTTTGATTGGTTCGATTTTTAATGCCTGTTTCCCGTCCTTGCTTTGGATGTGACCCAGAGGCGGACTGATCATTTGGAAACTCGGGCACTGCCCTAGGGCCCGGGGTCAGTAGGCCCCTGGTACCTTTTTCATAGGCTTTTTTGAGTGTGGGCAAGGACACAGGGGCCCCATGATCCCCTATTGCCCGGAGGCCCCATGAGTTGTCAGTCCGCCCCTGATGTGACCCATTATATGATCAGGGCTGGGTACATTCTTCCAAAACCTTGTGGCCCCCTGGGGAAGCATGCCTTCTAAATTCATTGGTGTCACTGGGGTAGTGGGCTCCAGGGCAGACGAGTTCCCCAGATTATTGACGTCTGTGTAATAGCGGGCCCCAGAGGTCCATAGCCTCTGAAATAGCCCCTCAAATTGTTGGTGTCAGTGAGATGGTGGCCACCAGGGAAGACAATGCCCTCAAAGATTGGTGTGGGTGGCCCCCAGGGGAGATTAGGCCCTCCAATAATTAGTGTCTTTGGGATTGTGGTCCTAGGAGGGAATTGAGGGCCCCCAGAGGAGAATACCCCGAATCTTTGGTGCCGTTGGGCTTGAATAGCCCCTCAATTCATTAGTGTCAGTGGGATGGTGGCCACCAGGGAAGACAATGCCCTCAAACATTGGTGTTGGTGGCCCCCAGGGAGACTAGGCCCTCAAATAGTTAGTGTCTCTCTTGGATTGTGGCCATAGGAGGGAATTTTCCCCCAAAGTCACCGGTATTGGTGAATCCCAGGAAAAGTTAGACCTTCATATCATGGGTGTTGAATGGTTGAACTGGATGGACTTTTTTTTCTTTTTTCAGCCAGATTAACTATGTGTTGGTGGCTCCCAGGGGAGAATGCCCCAAATCTTTGGTGCCTTTGGGCTTGAATAGCCCCTCAAATCATTAGTGTCAGTGGAATGGTGCCCCCCAGGGGAGAAAAACCCCTCCAATTATTGGTGTCAGTTGGATAGGTAGCCCCAGGGAAGAGTGGTCAACCCAAAGTATTGGTGTCAGTGGTGAAACTTCAGAATGGTACAAAAATCATCTGGTGAGCGGAAGCTCTGAGAATAGCCAGATTATTTGGGGAGGACAGAAGGGCGCCACGAATGTGGTGAGGACACGTGGAACCTTGAGGAGGATGGGCCACAACAGGCTCGAGGTCTCCAGCAGTGAGTTTGCCTGGTCAGCTCAGGAATGGTGGGAACCCCTCATAATGGGCACAGCGGGTGTACAGACCCAGGAACTCGGCACAGGAATGGTGGGAACCCCTCATAATGGGCACAGCGGGTGTACAGACCCAGGAACTCGGCACAGGGATGGTGGGAACCCCTCATAATGGGCACAGAGGGCTTACAGACCTGGGAACTCAGCACAGTTAGTAAAAGGAACCCTAACAGCAGAGAATCCTGGCCGCTCCCACTGTAGACCTTCTTCCCGGAATGTATGTTGGGTGGAGTGACCACCAATCGCAGATCTCACAGATGTCTCCCGTTCCTCCATTCACGGTTCCATGTTTTCTTTCTCTCCGTGTTCCTCAGGATGTGGTGAACTGCATTGGCGGGATGGGTGTGGTTCTTCCTTTGCTCAACCAAGTGGCTCTGCAGACAAAGGAAGCTCCAGATGCCCAGGAGACCCACGACCTGGTGGGCCCGGAACTCACCTCTTCGCGGAACGCCCAGTCCATGCAGCTTCCTCTGGGGAAATCCTCAGGTGGGATATTTGTGGTCTATACCCGGAGGGGAGGGTGGAGGAGGAGAGAGGGTGGAGGGTTCCGGTATGTGGGAGGAGAGGGTGGAGGGTTCCGGTGGGAGGAAAGGGTGGTGGGTTCCGGTGGGGGGGAGGAGTGGAGGGTGGTGGGTTCTGGTGGGGGGGGGGGAGGAGTGGAGGGTAGTGGGTTCCGGTGGGAGGAGAGGGTGATGGGTTTCGGTGGGTGGGAGGAGAGGGTGGAAGGTTTCGGTGGGGGGGGGGAGGAGAGGGTGGAGGGTTCCCGTGGATGGGAGGAGAGGGTGATGTGTTCCGGTGGGAGGGGGGGAGGGTGGAAGGTTCTGGTGGGGGGGAGAGGGTGGTGGGTTCTGGTGGTTGGGGAGGCGAGGGTGGTGGGTTCCGGTGGTTGGGAAGGCGAGGGTGGTGGGTTCCGGTGGTTGGGAGGAGAGGGTGGTGGGTTCCGGGTGGGGGGGGGAGGAGAGGGTGGAGGTTACCGGTGGGGGGGGGGGGGTGGAGGGTGGAGGTTACTGGAGGGAGGGAGGGAGGGAGGAGAGGGTGGAGGGTTCGGTGGGGGGGGGGGGAGGAGAGGGGGGGGGAGAGGGTGGGGGGGTTCCGGTGGGTGGGAGGAGAGGGTGGTGGGTCCTGGTGGGGGGGGAGAGAGGGAGGGTGGAGGTTACTGGAGGGACTGGGGGAGGGGGGAGGGAGGGAGGAGATGGTGGGGGGGAGGAGAATTCGTGTGTTTTATGTTCTCCCTCATTTGATAGATGGAAAGCGTTTCCGTTGTGAAGAAAGTTACATGAAGAATGTTTTGTAACTTGTGGGTTGCATTGGCTCCATGAAGGTCCCCGCCCCCCAGTCCCCACCACCCCTCAGTCCCCACCGCCCCTCAGTCCCCTCCACCCCTCAGTCCCCTCCACCCCTCAGTCCCCTGAAAATCAGACGTTGTGAAAGTCCAGACCACAATACTTTTTGTCCTAAACTGCAATAAACTTTATTGACACACAAACAAGATCAATCAGACATGTGAGGCTCCGTTCACACTGGTGCGTTTTTTAGTGCTTTTTGCAAAAACGCGCTGCAGTCCGTGTAACATGGCGTCCTGTGTGTGTATATATCTCATAATTCGTGAACTCTATAACGTTCCTACAGACGTAATAATATACACTGATTCTGGTTATTTTCACCAAAGACATGTATACAGAATACATTTTGGTCTAAATTTGTGTAGAAATGATCAATTTCAATATTTATGTGCAAAATGTTATAACAAATAAAAACGCAAAATTTACATGCAAAAAAATACCAACAAAAGAAATCTCTATTTTTGTGAAAACATTATAAAAATGTCATTTAAAGAGCGACAACGGTGAAAGGTGAAAATTAGCGTGGGCGGGAAGGGGCAAAAGTGCCAGATAGGCAAGTGGTTAAAATACAAAAACATGTACAGATTAAAAAAAAAAAAAAAAACAAAATACAAAATTATGTATAAATTAAAAAAAACCCTAAAATACTTAAATATGTATAAATTAAAAAAATAATACATAATTATGTATAAATAAAATTTTTTAAAAAAACCCACAATACAAAATTATGTATAAATTAAAAAAAACCCAAAATACAAAATTATGTATAAATTAAAAAAAAAAACAAAATACTAAAAATTATGTATAAATTAAAAAAATAATACATAATTATGTATAAATAAAAATTGTTTAAAAAAACCCACAATACAAAATTATGTATAAATAAAAAAAAAACCAAAATACAAAATTATGTATAAATTAAAAAAAAAAACAAAACTATGTATAAATGAAATTAAAAATATAAAAATACATAATTATGTATAAGTTATTTTTAAAAACCCACAATACAAAATTATGTATAAATTAAAAAAAAAAAAACAAAACTATGTATAAATGAAATTAAAAATATAAAAATACATAATTATGTATAAATAAAAAATGTAAAAAAAACCCAAAATACAAGAAAAAATACAAAATTATGTATAAATTAAAAAAAAAAAAACCCAAAATACAAAATTATGTATAAATTAAAAAAAATGAACAAAAAAATATAAAAACAAGGCAGTGACAGGTCCTCTTTACTGAGACATTTGGGGTCTATTGGACTCGCCGCCTTCGTTTTGTCTCCACAGAGAGCCGGTTGGAGAGGAACGGAGGAGTGGCGGCTTTCCTTCTCATGGTCAAGAATTTCATTCAGCATCACCCAGCCAATCAGGAGAGCCTCCTGCAGTGTCATGGGCCGGCTATCATCGGGGCCCTGCTACAAAGGTGAGTGAGGAGCCACGCATACGCCGTCTTTAACTTTTGTTGCATATAACCCGACCCTTGGATGTTACTGGAGAAGGAACTCCTCGGTTCCTGCGTGGCCGAATTCTTGTGAAGAAAAAAATTGCTCTACCGCTTCCGCTCTCACACCCCTCTGTATACCCCTCATAGACCAGAGGTCAGACGTTTCCTGGAAGTCTTCACAAGGTTGGCACACACTGTTGCTGGTATGCTGGCCCATCCTCCATGCAGATCTCCTCTAGAGCGTATCTCAGATGCTTAAAGCCCCTCACGTGGTTCTAGACTGTATCTCCGATGCTGAAAGCCCTTTAGATATACTTGATGGTCAACGTTGCAAAAGTTCCCTTCAGGTTAAGTCATTGGCACAAGGTCAGGTGGTAGAGAAAAATGAAACTTTAATGAAGGCCAGTTGAGCTGAGAGCAGCCAATCGCATTTCACTTACCTGAAATCAGTTGAACCCTTATTGGTTGGTGGTTATTGCCGTTTACTAATAGAACAGAAAATCTTGGTCTGTGTACTGTGCGGCCTTTGATGTCCGTTGTGTCCTCAGGTGTCCCCTCTTATCCTGGACATGAATGTGTTGATGGCATCTCAGATGCTGATGGACCAGATCTCGTTGGAAGGTCACAATTACCTCCTCCATCACCTCTACCAGCACCTGCTCTTCGACTTCCGAATCTGGTGCACAACAGCGACTTCGCCGTCCGCCTGGGTGAGCCCTTCTGCTCCAGTTAGCCCACACTTACTGGTGGGTCGTTTCTGCCTGTGTGATGTCATGGAGACATTTTGATCATCATTTCCTCCTTCTGCAGGTCACATCCAATATCTCTCTTCAATCATGAAAGATCACAAGCAGAGAATTCGCAGGAAGTACGGCGTTCAGTACGTTCTGGACTCAGTCAGGAGGCATTATGGGTAAGTAAGCTGACGACTTTCCTCATCCAACAATATAGAAGTATGTTAACTCCCCCCTCCGAAGGATGGAGATCGGGTTTTCCCAGTGATGGGTACTGTTAATCCTACCCATGTTGTTTTTGGAATAGGAGGCAACTCCATGTGAATGGCCATGGTTATGGAACAGGAGGCAACTCCATATTAATGGCCATGGTTATGGAACAGGAGGCAACTCCATATTAATGGCCATGGGTTTGGAACAGGAGGCAACTCCATGTGAATGGTTATGGAACAGGAGGCAACTCCATATTAATGGCCATGGTTATGGAACAGGAGGCAACACCATGTGAATGGCCATGGGTTTGGAACAGGTGGCAACTCCATATTAATGGCCATAGGTTTGGAACAGGAGGCAACTCCATGTGAATGGCCATAGGTTTGGAACAGGAGGCAACTCCATGTGAATGGCCATGGTTATAGAACAGGAGGCAACTCCATATTAATGGCCATGGGTTTGGAACAGGAGGCAACTCCATATTAATGGCCATGGGTTTGGAACAGGAGGCAACTCCATATTAATGACAACGGTTTGAATTTGGAGGCAACTCCATATTGATTGCCATGGTTATGGAACAGGAGGCAACTCCATATTGATTGCCATGGGTTTGGAACAGAAGGCAACTCCATATTGATTGCCATGGGTTTGGAACAGAAGGCAAACTCCATGTGAATGACCATGGTTATGGAACAGGAGGCAACTCCATATTAATGGCCATGGTTATGGAACAGGAGGCAACTCCATGTGAATGGCCATGGTTATGGAACAGGAGGCAACTCCATGTGAATGGCCATGGTTATGGAACAGGAGGCAACTCCAAGTGAATGGCCATGGTTATGGAACAGGAGGCAACTCCATGTGAATGGCCATGGTTATGGAACAGGAGGCAACTCCAAGTGAATGGCCATGGTTATGGAACAGGAGCCAACTCCATGTGAATGGCCATGGTTATGGAACAGGAGGCAACTCCATGTGAATGGCCATGGTTATGGAACAGGAGGCAACTCCATGTGAATGGCCATGGTTATGGAACAGGAGGCAACTCCATGTGAATGGCCATGGTTATGGAACAGGAGGCAACTCCATGTGAATGGCCATGGTTATGGAACAGGAGGCAACTCCATGTGAATGGCCATGGTTATGGAACAGGAGGCAACTCCATGTGAATGGCCATGGTTATGGAACAGGAGGCAACTCCATATTAATGGCCATGGTTATGGAACAGGAGGCAACTCCATGCTAATGGCCATGGTTATGGAACAGGAGGCAACTCCATGCTAATGGCCATGGTTTTGGATTTGGAGGCAACTCCATTTTGATGGCCATGGTTTTGAAATGGGAAGTAACTCAATATTGATGGTCATGGTTTTGGAATGGGGTATCCCCCAAAGACTGCCCCCACGTACCATTTCTTGGCCAAGACCCTGAAACAATATTCCTTCTATTCAAATCGTTAAGTTTGCTGAAAGTTATAGAATTCTTTGGACGGAATTGCTCAGCATCGTACAATCAGTTGAGTGTCCTTGTCTTTTTTTTTTTTTTTTTTTATGTAAAATGTCAGGACACAGAAAGGGGACCAGATCACTGAGGACAATGTGAAGACCGTGCAGATGTCCCTCTTCAGCCTGACTAAAGATTTCCTGGCCAGGAGTCTTAATGTCGAGGATCTGCACAGCGTAATCAGCTACACTGCGACTGTCAATGACGAGGAGCAGGTATGTTCACCCGACCCCCAACAGTATTCACCCCCAACATGGGTAAATATTTTGATTTTCTGCTTTCCTGGGGGGGGTTCTTATTTGTGTGGTTTGAATTTGTAGAATTTGTATCAAACCCGTTGTAAATAGTAATGTTTTCTAGCTGTTGGCCATTACCCCTAGAGACGTTCATGTGTCCATCTTGTCCTCCAGGTATGTGGGATCCTTGACGTCATCCACAGCCTCCTGAAAGCCAACATCAGCAACGAGCAGCTGTACTCCTTCCTTCTAGAGCAGGGCAATGTGGAGGTCTTCTACTACCTGCTGGTCCAGAAGAGATTCTCCGACCAGCTGAGGGAGAAAGTGTTTAAGGTCCGTATGGAAGAAGCTTACAGATGTTTCTACAATAGCCGACTACCGCTATCAGTAACATATAGCGTGGGGATGTTAAGCCTGCTGCTCTCTAGCGATCAAGAAACCACACTGGCCTTGGGTGAAAGGGCATGCTGTTGTCTAATTCCTGTCTAGCCCTCTGGTCACAGTTTGAACCCACCTACAAAGGACTGGCTCTGGAAATCTAGACCCAGAACTGGTGCATTCTTTACCTGCTATAGAGTATATAGCCTAATGTAGGGTTTCTCAACCAGGCTTCCATACAACCTGAAGGTTCCTCCAGAGGTTGCTAGCGGTTTTGGGGTTCCAGAAGAGATTCTCTGACCAGCTGAGGGAGAAAGTGTTTAAGGTCTGCATGGAAGAAGCTTAGAGATGTTTCTACAATAGCAACTCCATGCTAATGGCCATGTTTTTGAAATGGGAGGAAACTGTTAATGGCCATGGTTTTTGGAATGGGGTGACAGTTCCATATTATCCATGATGGTTTTGGAATGGAGGCAACTCCATATTAATGGACATGGTTTTGGAATGGGGTGACAGTTCCATATTACCCATGATGTTTTTGGAATAGGGGACAACTCTATATTAATGGCCATGGTTTTGGAACGGAGGCAACTCCATATTAATGGCCATGGTTTTGGAATGGGAGGTAACTCCATATTAATGGCCATGGTTTTGGAATGGGAGGCAACGCCATATTAATGGCTATGGTTTTGGAATGGAATGGGAGGCAACTCCATATTAATGGCTATGGTTTTGGAATGGGAGGCAACTCCATATTAATGGCTATGGTTTTGGAAAGGGAAGCAACTCCATATTAATGGCCATGGTTTTGGAATGGGAGGCAACTCCATATTAAAGGCCATGGTTTTGGAATGGGAGGCAACTCCATATTAAAGGCCATGGTTTTGGAATGGGAGGCAACTCCATATTAATGGCCATGGTTTTGGAATGGGAGGCAACTCCATATTAAAGGCCATGGTTTTGGAATGGGAGGCAACTCCATATTAATGGCCATGGTTTTGGAATGGGAGGCAACGCCATATTAATGGCCATGGTTTTGGAATAGGATGTCCAACAACTCAAATTAGTGGTAACTGTTTGGGAGAAGGCCCTTTTCTGTTCCAGCATTACTGTGGCCCTGTGTACAAAGCCAGCTCCATTTAGACATAGGTTGACCAGATTGTACATACAGGACAAGCGAGTTCCTCCACACCAAAGTACTGACCTCAACCCTACTGAATACCTTTGGGATGAATTGGAACACCGATAGTGAGCCAGGCCTTCTCAAGCAACATCAGTACCTGACCTCACAAATGTTCTTTTCATTGAATGGGAACAAATTTCCATAAAGACTTCTAGAGCAATTCCCACTGAATTCAGTAAATTTCCAAAGTTTTGTACTTGGTGTATGAGGATTGAAATACTTGAGCAGAGCCAGAGGTTGCTTTCCTGACAGGTTCTCTTTATGTCTTGTGATCTCTTTTCTCACGCACCTGTCTGTATAACCTGAATCATCACTGTCCCTCCAGATCCTCTACAAGTTAATCAAATACGAGAAAGTCTACGATCGTCTCAAGCATCGCCTGAAGTTGAAGGATATCGGATACCAGGGACTCATCTCTTTCCTGAATGACGTTCCTGTGTCCATGCTACTGATCCGCTGTCTCTCAGAACAAGTCTTGGGCTCTGGTAAGCGCTCTTCTCTATTTAGTTTTCCTTTTTAATAATTGTTTTTTTTTCTCTCAACCAGGGGCGGACTGACAACTCATGGGGCCCCCGGGCAATAGGGGGTCATAGGGCCCCTGTGCCCTTGCCCAAACTAAAAAAAGCCTATGAAAAAGGTACCAGGGGCATCTCATGGGGCCCCCTACTGACCCCGGGCCCTCGGGCAGTGCCTGAGTTTCCAAATGGTCAGTCCGCCCCTGCTCTCAACCCTGGGCCGCTAACTGGGTGGTGCAGGCAGTACTCCTGTATCGGGTCAGGGTCCTCCTTTCGGTCAAGCCCTGGCCCTAAATGAAGTGACATCAGCTGCCTGATGTCACTCAGGTCTTTCTGCCTTGGTCCAGCATCCAATCAGACACCAGCAGAGAGAGGAGCACAGGCAGAAGTATGTTGTAAGATGTCCTATTGGGTGGTCATTCATCAGAGCTGCTGCAGTCTTCCTCCGATACCCAGAAGAGATTTCCAGTTAAGAGGGAAAGGATAGCTGGCACCATCAGTGCTCTGTAACGGTTTCCATGCTCTGGTCCCCCACTAGACCACCAGGGGAATATAAGTAACACTTTTCCCACCAGACCAATAGACATTTTTTTTTTGGTTGGGGTTCAGCGGCTCTGACGTAGAAGCCATAGGAGGCCACGTGATTTCAACAGAGGGGCTTTAAGAGGGAACATTTTAGGCTGGCTTCATACTAGCCATTGCCCTGCGAAGCAGTTTGTGGTGGATCACTTTTCAGAGCATGGCTAAGCTACCACCTCCTGAATGGGATGCTGCTGAATGGGTTAATAATGGAGTTAATGCTCCCCCAACTGCGAGCCAAGAGTTGAGCTCATGGTTGCCACATGTCCCCGTTGACTTGAACGGCGGAGTTTGATGGATGTGCCATCTGTCAGCTGGCGCGTTGAGTTAAATTTGAAACGTTCTCCTGGCTGCTGCTTAGATTTTTGATGGGCGGCCGTGGGAGCGGTAAGACCGCATTTTTGATCAGATTTCAACGAATGCAACATTGCTAAATGGGCCAAACGTTTGTCTGAATCACTCCATCATCCCTCATGGGGAGGTCACCCAACAAGAACTTTGTAGTGCATATGAAGGTCAGGTGATGAAACCCCAGTCAGGGTTGCTGTGCTGTGTCCTCTGAATGCTCTTTTTTTTTTTATCTCTGCAGATTTGACTCCAAATTACAGAGATCTTCTAGCGGTGGTTTATCTGTCGCACAGGGCAGAGCTTTCGGTCAAGCTGGACGTTTGTAGGAAGGTAACTTCTGTGATCTTGTAGCTCTTTAGCTCTTTATAAACTTTCAGTATCATTAAATCTATCGTTAAAATTTGACACCCTTACTTTTTTTTTTTTTGCAGCTCTTCCACCTGATCTATTCCCAACAAGACATTGTGCGACAGCTGGCCAAGCAGACTGGCTGGCAGGATTTATTGACCAAACTTTACATCAAAGAGTCGTATGAGACGAGGCCCCGTTTCCTAAGCAGTCCGTTGTATGGAGGCACCTTGTGCGCCCTGAAACGGATGGGCAGCAGCAAGGACTCGGAGTCCGGGATTTGCAAGGAAGGCAACGATGGAGCCCATGGATCAGTGGAGAACACAGACGCAGATGTTGTATTTCCAGTGGGTTTTGAGGCCTCAGACTTGGACTTCTCTGAAGGCTTTTCCGACCATTCCTTGTCTCCAGCTGCCAAAGAGAAACCCTTCCATTCCTATAATTTTAAGTCATTTGACTCCTCAGACCAGGCCAGTCATTCCTCCTCTAACCTTGTTGACATTCCCGGCTCTGAGGAGGTCAGCTGCAGTGATGGACCTCCATATGATAACATCTACCATCCTTTGTCTCCATTCTCCATGTCTCCCTTTGATCTGAGGCTAGACTTGGGAAGTTCCAGCTCTGCGGCTACCATGGAGAGTGGAAACCAGACGCCGGTCAGCCAGCCAGGGACACCATCCCCACTGGAGACCTTCAAACCTTTTCCTGGGATGAGAGTTCGGAAGAGTTCTAGCTTGTCTAATGTCCTGGATGAAAACAGCTACCAAGAGACGTTACCCAGTGACACCATCTCAAATACCAGCAACCCCCAGGTAGCTACTCATGCTCTGTCACAATGATCATGACATTTCTCTATCTTTTAAAGTTAACTCTAACCAACTTAGTGGCTAAGAATTGGAAACTCGGTCAAGTTCCTTCTTCCTAGAGATTTCCTGTCCAACTGGAAAGAGGTTCTTACTCTTACTCTTTCCCATTCTGTCCAATGGCTGGTGATTGGTCTTTAAGGCCCAGTCCATCCAAAAGATTAGTATATGCAAGCCACGGGCTGACCTTGTCCAGAGACGCTCTCCTTTTTGTGAATTCCATTTTTGTTGACCTTTTCTCCCTTGAATTTTTTCTTGTCAGCAGGAACGTGAGGGAACGCAGTTCCAGCACGTCCAGCACCAAATGTATGTAATGGCAAGGGGTGCTGGTTGCGCTGGGGGATGTGTAGATGCTGGCTGCTGGGGGATCTGTAGATGCTGGCTGCTGGGGGATCTGTAGATGCTGGCTGCTGGGGGATCTGTAGATGCTGGCTGCTGGGGGATCTGTAGATGCTGGCTGCTGGGGGATCTGTAGATGCTGGGGGATCTGTAGATGCTGGGGGATCTGTAGATGCTGGGGGATCTGTAGATGTTGGGGGGTCTGTAGATGCTGGGAGGGTCTGTAGATGCTGGCTGCTGGGAGGGTCTGTAGATGCTGGCTGCTGGGAGGGTCTGTAGATGCTGGCTGCTGGGAGGGTCTGTAGATGCTGGCTGCTGGGAGGGTCTGTAGATGCTGGCTGCTGGGGGATCTGTAGATGCTGGGGGATCTGTAGATGCTGGGGGATCTGTAGATGCTGGGGGATCTGTAGATGCTGGGAGGGTCTGTAGATGCTGGGAGGGTCTGTAGATGCTGGCTGCTGGGGGATCTATTGTTGCTGGCTGCTGGGGGATCTATTGTTGCTGGCTGCTGGGGGATCTATTGTTGCTGGCTGCTGGGGGATCTATTGTTGCTGGAGGGTCTGTTATTGCTGGTTGTGAATCGCTTTGTTGCTGGGTCGGTTATGTTGCTGGGGGTCAGATGTTGCTCTACTGCTGAGGGGGAAAGGTCCATTGATGCTGGCTGCTGGGAGATTTGTTGTTGCTGCTGGGGATTGATTGTTGCTGGGACGATATTTTTTCTATTGTTGCTTGGGGGGGTCTGTTGTTGCTGGTGGTCTATTGTTGTGTGGAGGGGGTATATTGTGTGGGATCTATTGCTACTGTGGGGGTCTGTTGTTTCTGGCTGCTGGGGATTTATTTTACTGCTTTTCCTTGCTATCATTAGCAAATTCTGTACAAGTTACATAGCACCACCAAATGATACTTGGTTTTGTAATCTCTAAAAGGGGGAATACTGGGAGGTGGGTAAGGGGTGGAGCCAAGGGACAGTGCTCAGAGGTGGGTAGGGGGCAGAGACAAGGTATGTTCCTGCACCTATTCTCTAAGAAAAGGAAAGCCCTGCTGCAACCTGTCCCTTCTTCTCCCTGTGCAAGGCTGGTTCCATGTAGCATGTTGGGGCACCATTGGTATCTTCATATGGAGAATGGACCCCAGTCACGGTTCCTCCTCTCTATAGTTTAGAAGGGTGCGGTCTGTGACACTCCCACAGTTTTCAGTAATCTAAGCTTTCCATGTGTTGGCTGAAGTTGGTGACCACGGTCTTAATTCCAGTTCCTTTTGCCTCATAATTGTCCCTTCAGCAGACCCCCGAAGAAGAGCTTTGCAACCTTCTCACCAACATCATCTTCTCGGTCACCTGGAGAGGGGTGGAAGGCTCGGAAGACGCAGCATGGAAGGAGCGCGGTCAGGTCTTCTCAGTCCTCACAAAGCTTGGGTCGGCCTGCGAGTTGGTGAGACCTCAGGATGAAATCAAACGAAGGTCAGCACCATGAATCTTTCACTGGGTATACTTGTTCTGGTGACAACTTAGACTAGTCATTTCCCTCTCCTAGGAAAGCTTTTCTCACTTCCTGTTGTGTCATCTCAATGGGATACAAACAGGAAAAAAAAATCTGAATGGAGTTTCTGAGCTTTATCCCACTCTATCCAACCCCCAAAAAGTTTTCTTTTGATATACAGTACTTGAAACAAGATTTACATTCTCAATTTACGTATTTGTCTTTCAGCCTGCTGGAGATGATGCTGGAGTCAGCTTATACGGACATTAAGGAGGCCTCCACCTCCACCCTGCCTGGCCTCAATCAGAATGTGCTGAAGCTGCTGAGGCTTCTCCAAGATTTCCTCTTTTCAGAAGGAGAAAGCAATGAGGTCCTCTGGAGTGAGAAGGTGCAGTCATGATCTCTTAAAAATGTTTCTGTCCATTTATAGGCCAACTTTGGCGGGGGGGGGGGGGGGGGGCAGGTGTGGTCCTTTTCTTGCCTTTATCTAGCCCTTGGGGCAATATTTTATCTGGCCCTTGGGGCAATATTTTATCCACTGACACCAACAAGGGGGCATCATTGCTCCCACTGACACCAAGAAGGGGGCACAATTTCTCCCAATGATACCAACAATGGGGCACAATTTCTCGCAATGATACCAACAATGGGGCACAATTCTTCCCAATGGCACCAACAATGGGGCACAATTCTTCCCAATGGCACCAACAGTGGGGCCCAATTCTTCCCAGTGGCACCAACAGTGGGGCCCAATTCTTCCCAGTGGCACCAACAGTGGGGCCCAATTCTTCCCAGTGGCACCAACAGTGGGACCCAATTCTTCCCAGTGGCACCAACAGTGGGGCCCAATTCTTCCCAGTGGCACCAACAGTGGGGCCCAATTCTTCCCAGTGGCACCAACAGTGGGGCCCAATTCTTCCCAGTGGCACCAACAGTGGGGCCCAATTCTTCCCAGTGGCACCAACAGTGGGGCCCAATTCTTCCCAGTGGCACCAACAGTGGGGCCCAATTCTTCCCAGTGGCACCAACAGTGGGGCCCAGTTCTTCCCAGTGGCACCAACAGTGGGGCCCAGTTCTTCCCAGTGGCACCAACAGTGGGGCCCAGTTCTTCCCAGTGGCACCAACAGTGGGGCCCAGTTCTTCCCAGTGGCACCAACAGTGGGGCCCAGTTCTTCCCAGTGGCACCAACAGTGGGGCCCAGTTCTTCCCAGTGGCACCAACAGTGGGGCCCAGTTCTTCCCAGTGGCACCAACAGTGGGGCCCAGTTCTTCCCAGTGGCACCAACAGTGGGGCCCAGTTCTTCCCAGTGGCACCAACAGTGGGGCCCAGTTCTTCCCAGTGGCACCAACAGTGGGGCCCAGTTCTTCCCAGTGGCACCAACAGTGGGGCCCAGTTCTTCCCAGTGGCACCAACAGTGGCTCCCAGTTCTTCCCAGTGGCACCAACAGTGGGGCACAGTTCTTCCCAGTGGCACCAACAGTGGGGCCCAGTTCTTCCCAGTGGCACCAACAGTGGGGCCCAGTTCTTCCCAGTGGCACCAACAGTGGGGCCCAGTTCTTCCCAGTGGCACCAACAGTGGGGCCCAGTTCTTCCCAGTGGCACCAACAGTGGGGCCCAGTTCTTCCCAGTGGCACCAACAGTGGGGCCCAGTTCTTCCCAGTGGCACCAACAGTGGAGCCCAGTTCTTCCCAGTGGCACCAACAGTGGGGCCCAGTTCTTCCCAGTGGCACCAACAGTGGGGCCCAGTTCTTCCCAGTGGCACCAACAGTGGGGCCCAGTTCTTCCCATGGCACCAACAGTGGGGCCCAGTTCTTCCCAGTGGCACCAACAGTGGGGCCCAGTTCTTCCCAGTGGCACCAACAGTGGGGCACAGTTCTTCCCAGTGGCACCAACAGTGGGGCACAGTTCTTCCCAGTGGCACCAACAGTGGGGCACAGTTCTTCCCAGTGGCACCAACAGTGGGGCACAGTTCTTCCCAGTGGCACCAACAGTGGGGCACAGTTCTTCCCAGTGGCACCAACAGTGGGGCACAGTTCTTCCCAGTGGCACCAACAGTGGGGCACAGTTCTTCCCAGTGGCACCAACAGTGGGGCACAGTTCTTCCCAGTGGCACCAACAGTGGGGCACAGTTCTTCCCAGTGGCACCAACAGTGGGGCACAGTTCTTCCCAGTGGCACCAACAGTGGGGCACAGTTCTTCCCAGTGGCACCAACAGTGGGGCACAGTTCTTCCCAGTGGCACCAACAGTGGGGCACAGTTCTTCCCAGTGGCACCAACAGTGGGGCACAGTTCTTCCCAGTGGCACCAACAGTGGGGTACAATTCTTCCCAGTGGCACCTACAATGGGGCACAATTCTTCCCGATGGCACCAACAGTAGGGCACAATTCTTCCCGATGGCACCAACAATGGGGCACAATTCTTCCCGATGGCACCAACAATGGGGCACAATTCTTCCCAATGGCACCAACAATGGGGCACAATTCTTCCCAATGGCACCAACAATGGGGCACAATTCTTCCCGATGGCACCAACAATGGGGCACAATTCTTCCCGATGGCACCAACAGTAGGGCACAATTCTTCCCGATGGCACCAACAATGGGGCACAATTCTTCCCAATGGCACCAACAATGGGGCACAATTCTTCCCAATGGCACCTACAATGGGGCACAATTCTTCCCAATGGCACCAACAATGGGGCACAATTCTTCCCAGTGGCACCAACAATGGGGCACAATTCTTCCCAGTGGCACCAACAGTAGGGCACAATTCTTCCCAGTGGCACCAACAGTAGGGCACAATTCCTCCAAATGATACCATCAATGGGGCCCAGTTTCTCTCACTGACACTAAAGATGTGGCTTTGTTTACCGATACTGGGACATTTTGTACTCCTAATGACCACAGTTTGGCTCCCCTCAAGTCTGAAGGACAGTAAAACTGGCCCTTTGTTTAGAAACTTTGGAGACCCCCTGCGATCGTATAACCCAAAGGATTAAGATTTAAAATGTTTTGGACTTGGTGTAAATGTAAATCCTTTTCCTGAAGATCACTGGACCATTGACCATCAAATCACTGAACAGATCCCACCCCTCTAAAAAAAAAAAAAATAAATAAAACTCGCACGTGCACAGATGTGCCACTAGTCTCTTCAGGTATTTGGAAACTGGAAGACACCGGCGGCACATGTGTGCAACTGCTGCCATTTTCTAGTGCAGTGGTTCTCAACCTGTGGGTCGCGACCCCTTTGGGGGTCGAAGGACCCTTTCACAGGGGTCGCCTAAGACCATCGGAAAAACACATATTTCCGATGTGTAAAGAACAGCTACTGTGTAGAAAGCAGCTACTGTGTAGAAAGCAGCTACAGTGTAGAAAGCAGCTACTGTGTAGAAAGCAGTTACAGTGTAGAAAGCAGTTACTGTGTAGAAAGCAGCTACAGTGTAGAAAGCAGCTACTGTGTAGAAAGCAGTTACAGTGTAGAAAGCAGTTACTGTGTAGAAAGCAGCTACAGTGTAGAAAGCAGCTACAGTGTAGAAAGCAGCTACTGTGTAGAAAGCAGTTACAGTGTAGAAAGCAGTTACTGTGTAGAAAGCAGCTACAGTGTAGAAAGCAGCTACAGTGTAGAAAGCAGCTACTGTGTAGAAAGCAGCTACTGTGTAGAAAGCAGTTACTGTGTAGAAAGCAGCTACAGTGTAGAAAGCAGCTACAGTGTAGAAAGCAGCTACTGTGTAGAAAGCAGCTACTGTGTAGAAAGCAGTTACTGTGTAGAAAGCAGCTACTGTGTAGAAAGCAGCAGCTACTGTGTAGAAAGCAGCAGTATTGAAGGTAAAACTACACTTCATAAATTATAATTACTGGGTAAATAATTTTATGGTTGGGGGTCACCACAACATGAGGAACTGTATTAAAGGGTCGCGGCATTAGGAAGGTTGAGAACCGCTGTTCTAGTGGATGGCAGTATAACCTCCATCAGCGTGCGTACGCAGAAATCCACCTCAACGTTGTGGTGACCTACTGACTCCGGCAATAGTTGTGCTTTGGCTGTCCCAGGAGGCAGTGGGGCCCAGCCTAGGCTGGAAACCTGGAAGTGCTTCACTCACCTTACTGAAGTCAAACTAGTAGAGTCGCCTAATGTCCATCCTACACGATTCTCTGGCATCCATCACATGACTTTTTGCCGGCACTGTCCCCAAACCCACCATTTAGGAGAATTGTAACCCTTCGTTGACTCCTTACTACAAGATGGGGGATTGATATTTATTCCAACGTGTCTGATACTAGTTACACTTGAAAATGTCGTTCAAGAAGAACTGGAAATGGTCAAGAAATGTCAACTCTCTAATGCTTCCTTTTACGCAGCCATTGATTTATGGAGGCACTTGTTGAATGCCTACACTTCTCTGTTGCCCCGTTCATGGACTGGGTACGCGTTTGCTTGTATAAATCATATCTCCGAAAACCTCCCTGCTTGTCCGTGATGGTGTCAGGAACCCGTTTCAAGTCTTCTCTCGTATTTTCCTGGTTGCAGATCTTTGAAGGAGTCAGTAACTTGCTGGACAAGTTGGGAGTCTGGTATTACCTGGTGAATGGGACGTCGGACCTGAAGGAGATGGCTCAGATTGGGCTCCGGATCATCACAGGGTTCATCAAGTTGGATGATCAGCAGGTGAGTTGTCTGCCGTTCAACGTTCTTCCAGTTTCTTGGAATCCATTGTTGTCCAAATGATCCAGAGATTGTGACACACAAATGCGCTCGGAGATTGCTTCTGTACCCAAGCAAAGACTTGCAAACACAGAAAGAAGCATTGGTGAATGGGTGGCGGGGGGCTTATCAACCACTTCCTGTCCGGCCATTGTATATAAACGGCCAGACGGGGGCAGTGCAGGGGCGGGTGACTATTTATAAACGGCCTCCCCGCCCCCTGCTTGTGTGCGCTCCCTGGGAGCGCGCAGCACCGCAGTCCGGTGCCCGCTGTGTCCTCTGGACACAGTGGAACACCGATCGTCGGACGGGACCTCTGTGCGAGGTCTCGATCATGTGATCACTGATTGGCCAATCAGTGATCACATGCAGAGTAGTAAGCAAGATGTCACTTCTAACATCATTGCTTACTACGTGTGAAATCTGTGAATGATCACAGAGATCACATGGTACAGGGCCATTCACAACAGCCTTGTACCATGTGACAAGCTGTGACCAATCACAGCTCACACAGTATTTCTCAATGGCTGCAAGAATGCAGACAGAGAGAAGGAGAAATGATTCCTCTTACAGCCTTTATAGGTGTAAAAGCAATCAGTGTAAAAAAAAACAAACTTCATCACCCCCCACAAGTAGTACAGAGTCACCATGGTGATAGTGTACTGCTAGGGTGACAGTATGTAAA